CACTCTCCCGAGTGAGCCACGGGCCGGCCTAGAATAACTGGTTTTTGGATCGTTAGTCTTGGGGTGGGTCCTGCTCTCCCCTGACCGGCTGCATGTGTGACTGTGTCCAAGTTACTGAATGCCCCCTTCTCCCTCTTTCCCATGAAAAGGTACCGTCTCTCAGCCATGAAAGGTAACGAATGCCGCGCCTGGCACTTTGCAGACTCTCGGTAATGGTGGTTGTCTGAGACCTGGGCTCTGGCTTCTGCAGGGGAAGGGACCCTGTGGAGCCATGTTTCCTCCTCTCGTGTCTGGCCAGTTGTCTGGAGCATGCCAAGCTCCCATCACGTCTGTGGAGTTGTGCCAGGCTGGATGCGGGAGGCAGGGGACACAGAGACGGGAGGGGCAGGCAGGAGCCCTGCTGTGAAGGACACGGGCTGGGGGACCCCCCCCACCCCCCGTTCTCTCCTGTTGCAAGTGAAGTAAGAGGAGGGATCAATCTTGCTGGGGTTCCTTTCACTGGAAGAGCCAAACGTGGCCCCTGGGCTTGCTCTGGCCAGTCCGGCTCTGGTCCCCTGTTCGACCTCGTGGTCACTTCACTCCTGAGCTCGACTTGGTCCTGCAGGCTCCAGGCTGTGAGAAGGTGACTGTAGTTAGGAGACCCCTCTGTGGCACTTCGTCTGGGCGGCCCTTGCAGACCCACCCACCGGGCACTGGACTAAGTGGCTTTGGAATCGTGAGACTTGGGCTGGGTCCTGCTCACCCAGTTGCCAGCTGTGCCTCCTGCAGGCACAGGGACCCCACTCTTCTGCTCAGACCATCCCCTCCCGGCGTCCCCCCAGCCCCAACAGAGTCCAGGCAGGAGCTGGGCTTCCCCTCCCCCGATATTGGGCCACAGTTGACAGGTTCTATTTGGAACTGGCCTTGGTTTCCTCCTGGCTGCAAAGAGGCTGAGTGCAGGAGGGCCTGCTGGTGGCTTCTGTGACCTAAGGTGGCCTCAGACACCTGGCCGAGCCTGCGCCCATGTCCTCCCCTGACCAGGGGTGGTCTGTCTCCACAGAGCAGCCTGCACAGCGAGGAGGGTCTGGGCGTGGCGGCGCTCGGCACGCTCTACGGCGCGGTGCTCCTGTCCTCCATGGTCCTCCCGGCTGTGCTCATCCAGAGATGCGGCTGCAAGTGGACCATTGCTGCCTCCATGTGTGGCTATGTGGCCTTCTCCCTGGGCAACTTCTACGCCAGCTGGTACGGCCCCTGCTCCCCGGCCCCAGCATCCTCCTGATGGCACGGGCACCCTGAGCATTGTCCACCTCTTCTGCCACACAGTGCTGCTCCCCGAGTCCTCTCTTGGTGTCTGGGACAGGACAACATGGTGATTTCTTCCCATGTGTACCCCTCAGTCTTTTCCTAGGATCTGGCCTCAGCCCTTGGCTTCCCCATCCATGCCAGGGTACTTTTATGGCCCCAGTAAAGACAAGGAGAATCTTAATTTAGATGTGGAGGGTGAGTCTCGGGGGACTTGGCCAGAAGGTGACCAGTGGACCCATCATGACAGAGTGCAGCCCCAGGGCTGGCATGCACAGACCCTTCCTGAGGGTGGCCTGCTCCTGGGGAAAATGTGTCCTCAGAGGCCAAGCTCCAGCGGCTCTGGGCCACGCGTCCAGCCCCAGGAACATGTCTGTGTCTGCGGGACACTTTCCTGCAGTCCGGGGCATACTGAGGACGACGGCTTCACATTTTTCTTGCTGCCACTATGCAGTGTGCGTGCCGGGTCCTTGCTGAGGAGGGCAAGATCAGTCAACCCATCATTTTCTAAGGCGAAGCTGTCAGAAATACTAGAACCCCCCAGCCTCCTCTGTCCTCCTTAGCTCACTGTTCATGGTCACGTCCAAATACAAGGACACTTCACTGGCCTCGAATTTCACTTTCGCAAGTGAACCTGAACCAGAGCAGGCACTGATTTGCTCAGTTATCTGAGTCTAACGGTGACTCCATCAGTCCAGCCCATCGACAACCGT